TTTTGGGGAGTAACCCCCACCCCCCCCTCCCCTGAAAGTAACAACCCTTCCAAAAGTAGCGAGTCCTCAAACAAACATATAACATGACCATTGACGTGATTCAAAACAAAATTAAAGTGCGATAATAATTTGAGAGGACCAAACCATAATCTAATAAAATCTAACTATAACTCCTGTGCATAAGTCACTAACTCAAACAATTTGTAATAAAACTCAATCAAAGTTTTGAGCCGAATCGAACAATAAGTTGGGTTTTGATAATCACAAATATTGAAGCCAAGAAATTGTGTGAGAGCTTGATTACTTTCAATCAGTTTGAACCTATTGAACACACAATATTGATCAATTTTAAAAACAATGAAAATCAACTAGAAAAGTAAGAGATCTTCCAGCCCTAGGTGGGGGGGGGGGGGGGGGGGAAGGGGGGGAATACTCAGATCTATAATAGTGACAGGGATGTCCAAATGAGGCCACATTTTTAGACCCCAAAAAAGTCCAACAGCTCAGAACATAACCCAAAAAAGTATTACAGTATCCTGCATAAATGAGAACCCTGGGTTATGCTAATGTTAACCCCCACAAAAAGTCCTTACCCAAAAAAAGTCACCACAAAATTTCTAAAACCCAAAAAGGTTCTCAGATAGGCAGCAAATGTCAAACACCAAAAAGGTCTTTGGACATCCCCATCAATATTATATCTGAGTACTCCCCTGGGCTTTCAACACACACTACAAACTCACACCTGTCACGCTCATTTCCATGCCACATCCATTTTCAATCAAAATGTTCAATCAAAATTTAATGCAATAGAAAATGTCAATATTTTTTGCAATCACATTAAACATGAAGACGCACTATAAAAGGCTTAGCTCCTTCTACTTTCCATCTAATTTGCATTTTAGTTTTGCACATGGAGGCTAGAGCTTTGTAATGTTGTTGTATTCCTTTACAATTTTTGTATCCACTATGAACATAAAACTTAGTTATATGATAAGTGGAATGGGTGACTTGGATAAAGTGAATTAATGAAGAAGCGCTCTCAAGTCGAAATACTCAGAAAAAAATTCTGAGCTCCCCAACGGGAATCGAACCCATGACCTTCCAGGTGCCGGTTGGATGCTCTACCACTGAGCTATTTATATCACATATTTGCTTTGACATTATTGAGAACCTTGCAGTATGGCAGGACATATTGTCCACGTATGCCCCTAGTTGTATGGCCTTGCTCACCATGAGTCCTCCATAGCTCAGTGGTAGAGCGTCCAACCAGCACCTGGAAGGTCATGGGGTTTCGGTTCCCGTTGGGGAGCTGCAGGAATTTTGTTTTTGGCTGAGTATTTCGCACTTGAGAACGCTTCTTCATTAATAAAGACTTATAAATGTCTCAATTGGCCTTGTTTGTTCTCGATAAGATGTGAATTAAATACTTTTAGAACAGATAATTCAAAATTATGTACTTCAAATATGAACACTTTCATGAGCGAGTTGGACATTTCGCGGGGTTGTGTAAACACGCACAGTTTTTGTCATGATTATATTCTATGTTCTTTTGCTATTGCTTGCACACCAGAGATATTTCAAGAAACTACATGTACATGTAGTAAAAAAAAATCTTAATTCCATGGGGTTTAGAATGATTAGTAAGACAAACGAAAAATTACTTATTCTCTACTGACGACAGATTTTCAGCTATTGTCTCGTTCGCTGTTGATTGACAAATGATCTCGAGGTACCTTAGGTACCTCTCCTTTTCATCGTGCGTCTTCGTGTTTAGAGCCATCCTGATAAAACGGAATGATATAACCTGTGAAATACTTGAATTAGCACCTCCCCTCGAATAAGGGCCTCGCTCCTCCTTCGAATAAGCACCCCTTTTTATCAGCCAAAATTTGAAATGAGTGCCTCCCCTCGAATAAGCGCCCGCTTCGAATAAGAGCCCTATTATCGGCCAAATTTGAAATAAAGCGTCTCCCCCCCCCCCCCCCCCCTGTGTTTTTTTTTCTGGTCAAGTATTGAACAACAAAGGTTGAGTATAGTGATGGGTCCTCTTTAATCACTTGTCCGGCATTTTTAGAAGTACAGTAATAATTGGTAATTCGAGAGAAGAGGATCCCTTTTGAGGGACTGACGCAGTCTGACGAAGAGGAAGATAATTGATTCACATCATCGACATGATGAGGACGAGGACGAGGAGAGAAATCGGAAATCGATTAATACGTGATCACGTTCTCCGAGCTACCGTTCAGCTGTTACTGTCGTATTAGAATACTATATGAACAGATTTTCTCATGAATATTTGTGTTTCAGTTTGTGAACACTTGCGAAATTAATTACGAATACCAGTGTGTCGCTGATTAGAACTATACGAATGAATTTGCTAAATATTATTAATAAAATACTACTCAGTTATGTTGTTGTTTCGCGCGAATGTTATACCGTATTACAAAAAAAAGAACACATCTGGGCACAATTTGTGAAAAAGAAATAAGCGCCTCCCCTCGAATAAGCGCGGTCCTAAATTTGAAATAAGCGCCCCGGCGCTAATTCGAGTATTTACGGTAAACAATGATGATCACCAAAAGAAAATCAAGATGAAAGAATCGATTGTGAAATGACGCAGCAATGACCCGAGAATGAAATGGATTACAAATCCTTTAGCTTGTGACTGGTGACCAATTATTCTGTCGATAGTCCAAACTTGTCGCAACTGATGGGCCTCGCTTGCATCTAACCTCTTATTTAATTAATATATAAATATCAAATTTCCCGGGATATACTCAGGACACTCAGTGGGTATTAGGCTTTGTCAATAACATATTAAAGGGATTTCGGAGGCAGGTTGTGATTTCCCATACACTAAATTTTAAAGGAGTCCCATGACTTTTGGAGCTGTTTTAACCCAACAACACTCCATGTTATTTTGCAACGCTTGCTAATGCGGAAAACCTCTGAAAACCTGATCAAGAATATAAGTTTGTCAATAAGTTAAGCTTACATATGAATAACAGGCTCAAGCTGAAGCACTGAGTCAGTCGTTATTTCTTTCTGCAACTGGACATAAAGGTGATTTATACTACACTTTTTTTTTTTTATAAGAACCTTTTTTATAAGAACGTTGAGCTGAGATTGACCAAAATTTTAAGAACATGCTAAGAACATAGCCAGGGTGAGACTTTTATTCACTTGTTTCTTGCATCGAGCTCTAAATACAATATTCCAGTATTCATTCAAAACTTAACAAAGTGTAACATTTCAAATATCTCAGTTGAATAAGCAGTTCAATCAGCTCAAAATACTTGAATGCACATGTTTTTTATAATAACAACATAATTTCTATGAGGGGACATTGGGGTTTGCGGTATTGCGGTATTGGACAATTTTTCATGCGGTATTTCGGTAAGTCTAATCTAAAATTGCGGTATTGCGGTATTCTCAAACCTGCGGGATTCGGTTTTTTAGCGTTTTGGTCGGTATTAAAAACTATCCTCCAGTGTTTTACGACTTTTACGACCCTTTTCCATCCTTTTCCAGTTCCATGTCGTTTTGGAAACGCTTCGAAACAGCTCTAAGATCCTCTAATCCGTCACGCGAGTTTATATTAGTCATATTACATGAAACGTGATAATAATTTGATCGTTTTAACAATCTAAGCTGATATTTGCGCGAAATTTAACGAACAGAGTAGCGGTCTCGGTATTCTATCGATTTTTGACAAGGTATTGGACGTATTGCGGTATTTGGCGATTTTTTTTGCGATATTGCGGTATTTGTCAATTTTTTTGGCGGTTTTGTGGTGTTCAGAACCTCCAATGTCCCCCCCTTCTATGTTGTTTTTAATGTAGACTGAAAATTTTGCGCGCTCTGATTGGTTAAAAAACCATGTTTTATCAGAGTATAAATCATAGAAAAGCGTGTTTTATCGTTTCGCTGCGCGTAAAGCTATATTTTAAAGCACATAAAGAAGCCAAAACCATGTATTATACTGTCATAAAACACTCGGGAATTTGAGAACACTTGAGAAATATAGAAAACACTCGCCTGCGGCTCGTGTTTTCTAATTTCTCTCGTGTTCTCAAATTCCCGTCGTGTTTTATGACAGCATAATACATGGTTTTTGGCTTCTTATTTGTTAAATAATAAATTTCTATCACATAAATTGTTAAACCATTTTCATGGTCACGTTCGAATCTTTTTTGTAAAATTATATACCATGTAACTTAAGAACATGTTTACGAATTCTTCAGGCTGAAATCGCCAAAAAACTAAGAAACATTCGGTCTTGGTTCAGCCATCAGCCTCGAAGATTAGACGTTCTTATATAAAAAAAGAGTGTATAACAATCATGCAACTCTCTCGATCTCGTTGGTCCCGTGCGCGCCGTTTTACAGTCATATATCCTCTCTCGAACAGTTGGTTGCCGGTTCCGATGGTGTTCGTCTTAGAGAGAGTGACTGTATACACTAGAGGTAGACCCATACTCTACGCCACTATAAAGTTTTCTTACCTCTATGGAGAAAAACTGTCAATAAAGTGATCGAGCTACAAACAAATCGTACGACGCCCATATTGAACATTAAAAACCACTGGAGCCCAGTCTGTTCGCAACTACTTGACCACGTCGGTTCTCTGTTTGCACGCAAAAACAAAGGACGAGGCCTGGACTTGGTTTCTCATGAACGTACGGGAATATGTGTTCCGATATATTAATATTCTAACTTGGCTCCGAGGCTTAGGGGAATATATCATTTCTTTTGTCTTATTCCCCTAAGCCTCGGTAGTCCCAAGTTAGAATTACTAGTAATACGTGACTCGCAGGCCCTCGCGAAGCTTTTGTTGCCTAGTAACGGGCACACCTGCGATTTGATCTGCAAGGTTTCCAAGAATCGCTGCAAGGTTTCTGAGAATCGCCGGACGAACGCCGTGTTTTTGCTATGCCACCGGATTTGGTTTCGATTGGAGTTCGCTCGTCTCTCGATATCTGTAATAAATTGTAGCGCTCTTGTACTGTTTTCCCCCACTTTTCCGTCCGAATGATCTGAAACCACCTCGCTTTTGTAGGTAAAATCTTCTTCGCAATATCGGATCGGCGAATTATTTTCAGACACAAGTCTTCGCGTCTACAATGAAACTAAGCCATATGTTGATCGTACTTTGAGAAATGCCTGAGTCGTCTTTCCTTTCCTGTTGTTGATAATGGATTTAATAAAGCCGGGTTTTTTTCACAAATGACCCGTATATAAATTTGTTCGATAAACAAACTTGGAGTAAAAATTGTTATTCTTCAGCAGCCGTTCCTGTTTCTACATTTACGTGTACAAAGATTGCGTCGAAGTCAATGTTATTAAGCAAAGAAAAAGGGGTGTAAAAAAAAGAACGGCCTGGATTTGAACCGAAAAAAAAAAAGAAAAAAAAAAAGAAGGACCATGTCGGATTTGAACTCACGCCCTCAATCCGAAGATCAGATTTAAAAGTTAGCGCCTTAAGCCATTAGGCCACGAGCGCGCCGTGTGACGTCATGTCAACCTCCAACTCCACAAACAAACAATTAAATAAATAAATAAATAAATAAAATATGACCGTAAAGGCCACACGAGAATTGCTCTCGCGCGTCAGCTCTTGGGGGACAGAATTATAAACCCCGCTACGCGAGGCCTTCGGCCTCGCTTCGCGAGGAATTAATATATCGAGAATTGGTCTACTAGTAATACGTGACTCGCAGGTCCTCGCGAAGCTTTTGTTGCCTAGTAACGGGCACGCTGCGATTTGATCTGCAAGGTTTTCCAAGAATCGCTGCAAGGTTTCTGAGAATCGCCGGACGAACGCCGTGTTTTTTGCTATGCCACGGGTTTTGGTTTCGATTGGAGTTCGCTCGTCTCCCGACATCTGTAATAAATTGTAGCGCTCTTGTACTGTTTTCCCCACTTTTCCGTCCGAATGATCTGAAACCACCTCGCTTTTGTAGGTAAAAATCTTCTTCGCAATATCGGATCGGCGAATTATTTTCAGACACAAGTCTTCACGTCTACAATGAAAACTAAGCCATATGTTGATCGTACTTTGAGACATTCCTGAGTCGTCTTTCCTTTTCCTGTTGTTGATAACGGATTTAATAAAGCCGGGTTTTTTTCACAAATGACCCGTATATAAATTCGTTCGATAAACTGAAACTTGGAGTAAAAATTGTTATTCTTCAGCAGCCGTTCCTGTTTCTACATTTACGTGTACAAAGATTACGTCGAAGTCAATGTATCGATTAAAAAAAGAACGGCCTGGATTCGAACCGGAAAAAAAAAAAAAAAAAGAACCATTTAGGATTTG